TGATTGGCGCAAGCAGCTTCTTCGGTAAAATTAAATTTTAAAAGTTATTCGCAAAAAACCGTAATTTTGCACCTATTTTGTTTAATAACTATTACAGCGGCACTTTTTAGGAAGTCGATTTTTTACCATATATTATTGATACAATTTAGAAAAGATTGGCAAAAGTCGACCCTGTTACAAAGAATTCCGAAGTTGATTCCTTATTTTACTGAACTAATATACATGAACAGTTAACTTGATGCAGTTTACTCGATAGCGACGTAAAAAATGTAGGAGACTTCCAAAGCTTTATACTAATTTGTCCTACCATTGAAATATAGATGGCGCTATTAGTGTGTCCGAAAAAATTCAGTCCCGGAACTTTTTGAGTTTTTTTGAAAAACAAATTTTTCAGTAAAAAACAACAAAATTCGAACTTATGTACATGTACAAGGGTGTTGCATTTACATATTTGGTAGTACAACAGATTGCTTGATAGACTTTGTAGGGGCAGGCACGACTCAATAGGTAACGATAGTATATGCATGTGTTGACATAACTTACTTATCGACAGGATTGCACCTTTATAAAGTTTATAACGATTCAATTATAATGGTCTTGGATAGCAATCGTAATTATTATAAAAGAAGCCAAAACGACAATTAGAGATAAAAAATTGAATTTTAAGTTAACATAATACAACAAACTTTCTTCCTTTATCTCTTTACTTTTTATATTAGCATTGAAAGTTTCGATAGAATTTTTAGACACAGAAAAAGTAAAAGAGAAAAAATGTGCCGGCAACAAATTCGTATTCCACTGTATTTTACTTTGGAATCAGTTTTTGAAAAAAGTCGAATTGATCCGAATGCAGCTTAAAGTAATTGTAATTTGACCGACGACGACCGACGAATGCTACGAACGACATTTTCGATATACAACAATAAAGCCAATAGAAAAAATCTAGTAAAATTAATTCGGCTGTGATCTCAAAAGTTTGGAATGTTTTAAAAGTATTGATCACCAACGATGATTGATATAGATAGACAGAAGATGATGTTGTGTATTCCAAATTATTTTAAATATTTTATACAGAATTAAAGTATTGAGTGTATAAAGAAATATTCAATAATCGGAAGCTTTTTTCATATTAGTATTAAAAATATTTATTAATTTTCACAGCAAATGTTAAAAATAGCCATCAAATTTATTTAAACATAATGCGACTCTCCGTATGAAACTTTGTCGCACTTTCTCTAACATGTTAGGTGTTATACTCTCACTTGCTGTTCTAATCTTGTTAATTAATTGCTTTCGGTTACCAGATAATATTTGATAAACCTGATCTCGTATATAACCCCACACAAAAAAGTACATGGGCGTGAGATCAGGTGATTGCGGCGGCCATTCATGTAGATCGCTATGAATGTCTTCCAACTGTACCAAAATCGGTGATTTAAAATAGTACGAGCTTGTAATGATGTATGGGCTGGATTGGACCGTCTTGTTGGTATATGATATTTTTCGGAAAAAAGTGTGGCCCGATAATTACATTATCCACAATTCCCATCCATACATTAACTATATTGCCCCTGCACATGTGTTTCTTTTTGACAATGGGGATTCTCTTCTGCATAATGGTGTTCATTATGTCGATAAATACTTCAGTCATTCCGAAAAGTGCATTCGTCCATCCATAAGATTCTTCTCAAAAAGTAGTCATTTGCAACATTGTCTATGTCAACCTATATAATAAAGTACAATAATATGTATATTTTTATTTTTTCATATTTTCTATTTTTTTCAAATTGTACGAAATTATTCGTTTTTCTGTTTACTTAGGAAAACGCAGAGTTCGGTAAGTTAATATTTTTTTTAAACAAAATTAAGTTAAAGTTAATAACTTATAAAATTAATTTTTTAAGTTAAAGTTGCACGAACAAAAAACTAACTCAGTTAAAAGTTGCATTAAGATTAAAAATTAAGTTAATTAAAAGTTAATTTGGAAAAATATCATTTATATAAAGTATTATTAGTATTTCATAATTTTTAAAAATAAGATTACTTTAAATGAAAAACAATTACAATATAAATTATTAAATAAATTTAATATTTTATTTATAAATAAAATTTATATAAAATAACAATGAAATATTATTTTTACATGAAAATGTTTTTTTCTTGCAATAGGTAAATTTTTAACTTAGAAAAAAGTTAATGAGTTAATGTTTATATATATTTAAAAAGAACTAGTTGAAGTTAACAATTAATTCATTTATAATTAAGTTAAGAAAAAGTTATTAACTTTTTAACTTTATTATTTAACTTTTAACTTTTTAACTAGTTGCTACCTAACCCTGGATAAATGTTTTATTGCGCTTACAATTAGTAAGGTACGATGACTCGCACTATATAAAAATATGTTAACAAAAAACTTATATCATCAACAAATAAAAATATATTTATTATGGCTCCATATACTGTATACTTTTGAAAACAAAATAGAAAGTTATTAAAGTATTAAACTTATTTGGTCTAACAATAAAATCCAATCACAAAAATTTTCTCGACGAAGTAAATCTTGAGGAAACAATTGTTGAGTTGTATGTCTTTTGAAAGGATGCCATCCCAGATTCTTTTTAATTATTCTGTGTACCTTGGTATGGTCTATATTGAGCTACGCGCAATACATTTCGTGCTTGTATGTGAATTTGCTAAAATAGCCGCTCTCACTTGAACAATTTCTCTTTCTGTACGTTTACGTTGCGATTGCACTCGTAGGTGCGAGACAATGACGTCGCGAATTCGCACGTCCGGCTCAAGCGAAATTCTACTTCGTTCGGAGATACGAATACTTTAAAGATCTTACAATGATTGTCCCGCGGATAGAGACAAGGTTTGGGCGCCAGGCCCGCGTAAGTGAGCCACTTTTCTATGAATTAATAGCGCTATCTTCGATCCCCAATTAATTGCTCGAAGGCTCGATATTTTCCATGGGTTTTTGAGAAAGTCCCAGAACGTGCGAACAGCGACGGCTCGGAAGGCCGGCTAGCCAGCTCCGACAATGGCAGAGAGACGGTTCGATATACGCGATTACACGAGGCTGAGGAGAGCGGCAAGGAGAGTAAATAATTGCTCCAAAAATTAAAACATATAACATAACATGTATTTCCCGCAGGGCGGATTGATACAGTTCGCGAGTATCATCGCTCGTTGTTCGCGGGACGTGGGCGCGCAAAGTGTTCAGGAATAACGTATAATATTCCGGCGCCGATCCTTGGCAGACTAATGCCAGAATTAATATACGGATCGCGGGTGATCGCGGTCGGGATAAGGGACGCGGGGTGTGTCGGAGGACGGTCTCAGGTCGACGAGAATCGAGCGAATTTCGGAGGAATCGCGCGATACTTCTCGATGGCGCCGCGTCACACCTCACGGGTATTGCTCCGCGGCGCGCAACTAGTACCCTCGGCACGAGGCCAAGAATCCGAACTCGTTTTTCGCGGGTTGTACCATAAGTTCCCGTCGCTCGATTTCGTCTCCCCGGCTGTAGTGACGAGTCGATGTAATTTCCCGGTACAA